TCTGTGTTTCAGGTGTCGATTGGTCCATTCATTAAAGTTTGGTTGGGACTGTGGCTGAAGTGTAAATTGTTGGAGGTTGAAATGCTGAAAAAGGACTCTGATCACCAGCTGGTAGAAGACCTGATGGTTGCTACATTTTCTCAGCGCAGAGATCAACCATTCATCATAGAAATCATTTCCAGATGGCCAGCTCTGTTCCATGAGAGACAGGTAGTCAGTCACAATTCCTCATCACAAAACATTCCACAAAGAGACAGAAGGCATGTTGTCAGATACTATACTGTATCCTATTCAGATATCTGTTTGACTAATATTTTTTATCTGTCCGTGTCTCTCCTTAGATCAGGGCAGAATTCAAGAGAATTGTCACCACAGACCTTCTGGAATCTTTTCCCGATGGACTTAATGGCCTGGTCCCAAGACTGCTGGAGGTATGCAAAGCAGCAACTAAGTCTGGAAAGAAGCAGTCACTCAAATACATTTTAAACTGCCTTGAGAAAGATGTAAGAGCTGATGACCATAAAATTAGGCACCATTTATTATGCTTGTTATTTATTAAGTTTGCTATAATATTTTCATCTTACTGCATGTTCCTTTGTCTTGTAGGACACAAATGAGAGGAGAAGGACTGCTGTTTTGCTTGGACTGCCACACTACATATCAGGCGAAGCTCCATCAGACGTCATCAGGGTGTGTTGTAAGACCATAACTATCTCTAATGCAGTTACTTTAATTCTTTGTTGTTGTTTTTTAATCATCTGGCTGCATTACTGGAAGTTGCATCATATGTCAAGTTTGGTTGTTTTTGTTTTTTGTTTCTTGTTGAATATCACTTTTTTCAGGAGAACAATGTGCACATTCAAACACATTAAGGGGTTGAAATCTTCCGAATCGATCAATATTTGGTGTTTATGATCAGGACTGATGTTGGTTCAGCCTATGTACTTGTCTCACAATTATTTCTGCTTTTTAAGGCTTGTGTTGAGTCTCTGGATGAAGCCATGAAGGGGATGCACCTTGGCCTCCTGATTGGCTATGAAGGTGCTCAACGGGAGGCCTTTCCACATAACATCTTCAATGTGGCAGTTGTGGTCGAGGAAACCATTGTGCTTCACAACATTAAAGATGTGCAATGCAGCTTTGCCATGCTTTTGGGCATCATCTACTGTGTGAATCTTGAGTATTTAGAAGCCATGAAGTATTCCTTTGAGTTTCTTCAGAGAGTGGTAATAAAGAGCCTCTGCCCGGGTACACGGATTAAGAAACTGAACCCTTACAATCCGTACAAACTGTAACAGATCTACTTTTTCTACTTTAGGATATGGAAAGAGTTCCTGTCAAGAATGTTGCTGGTTGTTCTTTTTTTGAATATACTGTACTGTACTTTTGATGTTTTGTACCGATTAGTGTTGATGGTCTTAACTGTTCAATACAGACTTGTGATGTTGTTTTAAGGTGAAATGCAAAGTTCCTAGCTTCAGAATGTTCTATCTTTTCAATGGACTCTGTAATGGACAATGTGTTTCCAAGTTTCTTTAGTCTTTGTGTTGCAGAATCAGAATTTAACTGCTCGTTCTTGTTGTCTTTAACATAGTTTTTGAATGTTAAATACACTTAAATTATATTTTATTTAATATGCTGTTGAGGCTGTAAGTTGAGATAATTGTGCAAATAAATATTTTTTGAACAGATGAGTTCTAAGTTTAAGTGTGATATTTAAGGAAACTGGTGAACCTGCCATTATTAGTTGAGGTAAGATTAAAAGTTAAAAACATAAGTCCTCTTAATTTGACTTAAGTTGAATTGCTGCCTTAAAAACATGAGTAGAAACAACTTTAAAATGTAATTGGTATGAATATAGTTTGTTATCTTGACTTGAAAATGTGAGTTGACATAGTATGGAATTATTAATTAAACAACTTGTTTTACTTTGCTTTATGAGTTGAAATGAAACTTGAAGTTGAGTTCACTCACGTTTTTAAGGCAGCAATTCAACTTAGGTTTTTAAGTTAAACAGCCATGATAATTTTTACAGTGCAAGTATTTACTGAACAAGTTAGTTTAGATATTGACCCATTTTACTTGTTTGATAATTGTATGCGTAACAAGTACATCTGTACCGTATACTCTTGGATCTTCTTGTTCACCTAATTAGGATAATCCTGAGAGAATAATAAAGAAATTCTTGCTTAAATGCCATGTATTTCTACCTTCACCAAACACAGATATTTTTGTTGAATTACTAAACAATTATGCCCCTCAATGTCATGTATTTCTACCACCTTTAAACATAGATATTCTTGTTGAATAAACGTACATTTTACCTTTATAAATCAAGCTAAATTTATGTTGCTGTAATTTTATTTGAAAAATGCTCAATAGATGGATAATTAATAAAACAGACTACACCTGAATGTTATCTGAAATATTTATTCAGTGAACAGACAGGTTAAGCGCATCAATACATTTGTAAAAAAAATCAAAGACAACAATATTGAAATGTCTGAACAAAGCTATTGAACATACATACTTACATATTGAACATGCACCACAATATACTAGAACAGGCTAAAGCCATGTCTGGCTTCCCCAACAGTCACACTAAAAGCCTTGTTTTCAGAGACCTTGTGCGCTGTGAGCATTGAGAGCCACCGAGCTTAAAAAAGATTTCTGAATTGCTTCAAAAGGTGTACCTCATCTGTTTAGGATACTCAATGTTGAGGGCATACAGAAGGCCAAAGAGGTATGCCAAGGCAGTAGAGAGGTCTGGAATGTTATGCGCCACAATGTTCCCTTCCAACACAACTGCCTGGTCTCGCACAGAGATGTCAACTTCATCATCTTGTTGGACAGTGAGGATGGCAACAGACGTACCTTGCAGCACTGGTGCCAAAGTGTCAGTGTCCTGAGGAAAAACAACAGATGCATTATTAAGAGCTTGGAAAAACTAAGACAAACTAGAAAGAACATTTTCTGAAGAAAATGCGTGTGAATGCTGAAAAGGTTAATGCTAAAGATGAAAAGTATAACTTGTAAGCTGAGAGATGATTGGCTTCATAAGGGCTAAAAACAGTTGAAATGTTAAAAAGGCAGAAGAAAATGAGCAGCTATACACTGGAAGCTGACAGCCAAAGAAAATTGATGAAGCAATGGTAACATAGCTGAAGTAATAGCTGAGAATAGATTTAGTAGTTTAGAAGTAGAAATTGTGAAAAGGAGGATGATTAACATGAATTGTAAAAAAGTTAGTTTAAATGATGTATGAAAATCTAAACAAATCAGAGAAATATGTAATGTGAAGAGTGAGAAAAGGCCTGAAACTGTTGGACAGGAGAGAGATGCATAAGCCAATGTCATGACATGGAGAGGCTGTAAATTCTGAAATCTTCATTTTATGAACAAACTCTAATGTATTGAATACAAAGACATTGTTGAAGACGCTTCAAAATTCCCCTCAAATTTATGAAGTGTTAGTTTGAAATATAGCACTACAAATTTCTTGCAAAACAGAATAATTTACTTCAATTTTATGTATTTAAAGGATCTCTTTGACACTTTTGAAAGTTTGAATGTTAAAGACAGCAGATTATGCAAATCTTTTGTGTTGCACCTCAAGAAACATGCAACACAGTTTGCATAGACAAAAACAGAGAAGCTAATTTGTGCTCAAGTGTCTCACTATCTACATCCTCAACAATATCTTCAACCTCATTTAGTCTCACAACATTATGAGCTGATGTCCCTACTTCACTATCAGATTGTTCACCATCAATTATCTCGTCTTCAGTAACAGTTCTTGCTATTGATCGAAAATCCTTAAGTGTACAATTTTTATGGTTTCGACTTCTGTGAGAACTGAAGGTTGCGTGAGTGTTTGTTTTAAAGGTACACCTTAGAAAGGGATATTGTACAGTTTCTCTGTTCTTTAAATGATGTCCGGGAGGGTTCCGAAAAGTTTTTTCACTGCAAATCTCATTAAAATCACACAATTCACATTGAAATGTTAACTTTTCCTGGATTTTCACTGTTGAGTGTGATCTTGAGAGGTGTGACCGTAATGCTCCAGGTGTTTTAAATACACATACACAGTCTGTGTGAATGCAAGGCCAGTGTGCACCTTGTCCGTGATGAAGGTGAAAATGTTTCAGAAGGGTCTCTTGACTGGAGCTTGCAAATTTGCAAAATCTGCACTGCATGAAATCCACCCCTGAAACACAAGAGACACATATAGCACAAAGTCAGTTTTGATAGAAGCACGTTCACAACAAACAGCTCTATTTCCCCAATATATGACGTATTTCATTGAAGCCATGACAACTCCATCCATATTCAATGACTGAATAGACAATGGCTGGATTTCAATAGTTTGTGAAAGCACCAAGTCATTGCTACTACAATAATACTGTGGCAATATTGATAGAAGTATCTGGTCAAAAATAGATACCAATATGAAAAAAGAAAAAGTTATCCTGATAATAATTTATGCAATATTGCCAAACCCTACTAGCCTGAAAGCCAACTGTAACAGCCATTATGGGATAAAACAACCATACATAACACAGAAGGAATCCCTAGATTCAGGAGCTGAATACATCAAGCCAAAAACAGAGACAAGAAAAATGTGTGTTGGGAATCAGCTTATATTCATTTAGGAACACACTTTTCAAGCTACAAAGAGCAGATGGAGCTGGCCAGAAGCCAGACACAGAACTGGCATAGAGAATACCACCGTGCAAACTGCCGGTCGTAAAAACAATTAACTAAACTAAACTAAAATGAACCACGTAGCACTTTTACATGTTTAGGCGCATATTTAAAGCACCTAAAACATAGAAAACGACCAATTATGAGCAAGTAAACAAAGTCTAGCAGGCCAAATGCACCGCTTCTGAAAGGCTGCCTGTCGGGCTAGATGTCGTGTGCAGGATGGGCCAAAACAGCGTTTGTTAAGAGTTCTCTCAACAGATTTAGCCACCACAAACGTGCTGTAAACATACCAGTCTGAGCTAACATAATTTAACGTGATGAAAGTAAAAACACACTCAGCTTACCTGCTTGACCAAAATTGTGCGCGATTTAAAATTGTCTTTTGTCTTTTAGTCAGTAGGTGCTTCTGTTGAATATGATGTTTTGTGGAGCTAGGCACAGAGAGATGTCACTAAATGTTGATGTTGATGATGTTTAAGTGTATTGTCACATCACTTCATGTGACGTTGATGTGACAAACTTGATTTGAATGCTCCTACTTCTTCCAACTCTGAGGTTTCCTCAACCCCAGGAAGTGAATTCTTTGCCATTTGGAGGGAGTCTTTGGTTGCCTCTCCTCAGAGCCTTCAGCCTCTTCTATGGGTTCAGAGGTAGGTGCATTAGTGATGGACTCCTGTTGCTTGCACGGCTTCTCCTCAGAGCCTTCAGCCTCTTCTATGGTTTCAGAGGTAGGTGCATTAGTGATGGACTCCTGTTGCTTGCATGGCTTCTCCTCAGAGACTTCAGCTTCTTCCATGGTTTCGATGGCAGGTGCATTAGGGATGGAGAGCTGCAGGTTGAGTGAGATTTGAGCACTGAGCTGAGTTTTCAGCTCCTCCAGCTCTCTCTTATAAAACATCTCCGTCTTGATGGTGTTTTGCCTCAGGATACTGATCTCCTCCTCCCACTCATCCCTCAAGTCATCGATAATACACCAGCCCTCTGACGCCATGTCTGCATGAGACTTCATGTGCTGGTCAAGCTCACGTTGAAGGGTTTCAACCTGCTGTGTGGCAGTGATGATATAAGTTTCATACCGGAAGCTGACATCATGGTATGAAGCATTGATCCTCTGCAGTTCCTCTTCAAGGATCTTGTTCTTGTCCTGCTCAGCCTGCAGCTCAGCTTCAAACCTCCCTTTCAGGTCCTCATAATTATTTTGAAGGAGGGTCTTCTGCTCGATCTCCTGGTCAAGCTGATGCTGAAGGGTCTCAGCTTGCTGTGTGACATTGGTCAACTCAGACTCATACCTGAGGATGATGCCATGGTGTGAGACACTGATTCTCTGCATTTCTTCTTCCAGATTCTTGTTCTCGACCTGCTCAGCTGCAAACTTAACTTGCAAGTCCTCATACTGTTGCTGAAGGAGAGTCTTTTGGTTGATCTCCTGGGAAAGCTCTTGCGGAAAGGGTTCAGCCTGCTGTTTGACAGCGGTGACTTCAGTTTCATACTGGAGGCTGAGCTCACGGTATGAAACAGTGGTCTTCTCCAGTTCTCTACTGGTTTCTTTTTCCCTGTTGATGTACATTTCTTTCAGGGTTTTCTGTTTTTGTAGCTTGGCGTCTTCCAGTTCTTGACCATATTGGAGTCTTGTGCTACTCTCTGTAAAACATTTTGTCCTCTCTTCACACAACCGGGCTTCAAGCTGCTCAACTTTTTGATGAACTTCATTGTCCTGCCGAGCCCTGCCTCCAGCCTGCTGTCCAGAGGTCCTCTGGAAACATCTTTGATCTCTCTGCATTTTCTTTGGTTAGTAGAAATAGTTGCAAAGAAATGCTGTTGTCTACAGTTGCAGTTCTTCTCTGATGAACAGATATCGTCTGTATCAGTGGTCTGCCTGTTGGAGATGTCACAATATATGTAATAATACCAATGGAATTATTCCTTTGATGTGTTCCATTCTATTTACCTTTGATCTATAAAGTTGCATTCTATCTTGCTTTGATCTATAAAGTTGCATTCTATTTTGCTTTGATCTATAAAGTTCCATTTATTCCTCTATTTTTTCTGTATGTTTACATTTAAATTCACATTCACCTTTTTTTTTTTTTGCTGAAAATATCCTTGACAGGTGAATTTTTTTCTTAAAACACCATAAACAGTTTTTCTCTCCTTCCATACTGTCTCTCATTTACTTGGCTTTATATCTCTGCTGCTGGCCCAGAAATGCAAATGTAGAGAATCCCTCTGACTTACTTCAGTGACTTTATTGCCACAGCTCAATCAAAAACAAAGATAGCTATAAGCACTATACTAAATGCCATTTCCCCTACAAAAATGCTTATGAATTTATCACATGTGAAACATCATTACCCATTGGATATTTTTCAGAAGTTTTCACATTTCCCAATTGGTCTTCTTTTCCTACGTATCTCTCCTTATTCCTTTAATGACATCATACTCAAGTCTCCATCCCGATTCATTTTACCTGCCCCACTGCTCTAAAGAACCATGATGCAGCTGTGCAGTGGCAGCAACTGACTTTAACAGGCTTCTCTGTCTCTCTCTCCATCCCTCTGCTCTCTTCCTCTTACAACGCTCTCCTAGACTGTGATCAGATAGGCGCTCTATTCTTCTGCTCAAATGCAAAGTGCAGCTGTTTGCTTTGCTAGCTGCGGAGAGAGAGAGAGAGAGAGAGAGAGAGAGAGCCAAAGTCTATGGGAGGGTCACGTTATTATTGTTGCCATGCAGCACAAAGTTTGACAGCAACTTACTGGTTAGCTGTGGTTAACCAGGGTGGTTAGGCGGGGGAATGGAAAGGAGAAAGTTTGCGATTGCTTTACTTTCTATTTAAGATGGATATGGGGACATGGAGGGAGTTCCAGGTTCCCATGGTAAACTAAAGAATTGTTTAATT